AAAAAAAAAAAAAAAAAACCTGCTTCCTTTGGGACTTTTAGGCCAAACAAATCCATGCCTGAGAGCTCAGTGATTCATTCTTACCTGCCAGGCATTGGTAGTGGTTGGCTTCAACAATTGCTGTAAGCATCCAGTTCTTAGGGAAAACTGTCCCTGGGCTGGGTCGGGCATGGTAGAAATAATGTCCCGGTTTTCTCTGTCCCAGATACCAGTAGGACCATGCCATCCCCAGGTCAGCCTCAACCTGGCTGGCTTCTGTGGTATAGCCCATGTCATCCCTCCCTTTCTACACCTACAAGGAGACAGTGCCACACGGCTAGTACAGGACAGGGCTGGGGTTTGAACTCAGGCTTGTTGGTTCATACCGCTCCCTGGCTTCTGGATTCTTAGTGCCAAAGGAATGACTCAGAGTAAATTTCAGAAAAATGGGGAGAAGGGATCCCCACAGCAGGGATCTTGCTCCCAGTTGCAGTGATAGGAGGCTATGTCTGGCCTTGAATAAGAGAATGGAGTCTGCCAAAGGCATGTGGCTATAGTGTGCCGTTGGCCATTTATAATTGTCCCCACCTCTGCCCACTAAACAGATGATGGTGCTGCAAAGGCCAGAAGGCAAGTAGGAGCTTGCTTGAGGCATAGCTAGGCCCTGGCCCTTCCTGCCCCAGCAGTGATATCTTGGCTGTGGTGTCCCTCTGCTACTGGCTGCAGGTCCCAGTAGGATGCTGTAGAAGTGGTATAAAGTGAAAAGCTTCAAATCTGTAGCCCCTGCCCAAGTGGGAGGGCTCAGGGCCTGAGGGGCAGAGTGAGGGGCTATGCATTCAGGGCAGATGTGGTTGCCGTGACCACTGGCAAGTCTGAGCATGTTATCTAGCCCTTCTGAGCCTCATGTGCTTCAACCATGTAGTGGGTATGATCAATATCCCTACCTTATGGAGTCACTCAAGGCTTTAATTACCAAGCCACACAACTACTGAGCACAGCTTAGTAAATGACCCAGCTTTGGGCTGTCAGCCTGATCATTAGGTTCAGCTAAACACAGCAGCTCCTCTTCTCTGGGCAAGCTTGCCCCTTGTGCAGGGAAGGTGTATTGGAGGATCATTCTTTTGGAGACCTGAGCACTGCCTGCCATCTCCCCTTCTGTCCAGAGATGTAGCTATCCCATCCATGCTTTGTTTTCTTGGTTGGTAACCAGGGAATACAGGTGTGTGCAAAGTCTCTTAAGTTTCAATCATAAAATTCGTTTGGAACCAGAAGAGACCTAGAATAATGCAGAGGCAGTTCTGGGCAACAAAGGCAAGTTAGAGGGTATCACAGTCCCTGACTTAAATTTATACCACAAAGCTACTGTGATAAAAATAGTATGGTACTGGCAAAAGAATAGACCTGAGGATCAGTGGAACAGACTAGAAGATTCAGAAACAACTCCAGACATACTCAGCCACCTTATCTTTGACAAAGGAGCCAAACACCTTCACTGGAAGAAAGACTCTTTAATAAATAGAGCTGGAAAAACTGGCTTTTCATATGCCAAAGATTGAAACTAGACCCACATCTTTTACCACACACTAACCTAAAATCGAAATGGATCAAAAGTGTAAATATTAAAACAAAAACACTAAGGGCTGGGGATTTTAGCTCAGTGGTTCCGCCACCTGCCTTCCAAGCACAAGGACCCAAGTTCGATCCCCAGTACCCCCTGCCAAAAAAACACTAAATCTACTGGAAGAGAGAATAGGTAGAATGCTTGAGGGCATAGGAGTAGGCAAAGACTTCATGAACAAAATCCAGACCACATGGGAAATACTACAAAGAACAATGGGGACCTTATCTTATTAAAAAGCTTCTGCACAGAAAGAGAAACCACCAACAGAGTGAAGAGACAACCCACAGAGTGGAAAAAATTTTTGCCAGCTATTCATCAGATAAAGGACTATTACCTAGGGGCTGGGGATTTGGCTCAGTGGTTCTAATGCCTGCCTTGCAACTTCAAGGGCCCAAGTTCGACCCCTGATACCCCCCCAAAAAGAACTATTATCTAGAATATATAAAGAACTCAAAAAAATCAGACCCTCAAAACTTAAAGACCCAGTCCAAAAATAGGCATCTGAAATGAAAAGACACTTCTCAGATGAAGAATTAGAAATAGCAAATAAATATATGAAAAAATGTTCAACCTTACTGATCATTTGTGAAATGCAAATTAAAACAATGCGGAGAGTCCATCTCCAGAAAGAATGGCTGCTATCAAGAAATCAACCCGTAACCAATATAGTGAAAATGGCCATACTTCCAAAATTGCTATACAGATTCAGTACAATCCCAATTGAAATCCCAACAGTATATTTCACAGAACTAGAGAAAACAAAAATTCATTTGGAACCAGAAGAAACTTAGAATAGCAAAAGCAATTCTAGGCAACAGAGACATGATGGGGAGTATCTCAATCCCCAACTTGAAACTATACTACAGAGCCACTGTGATAAAAACGGCATGCTATTGCAAAGAAACAGACCCAAGCAAGGATTAGTGGAATAGATTAGAAGATGCAGAAACAACTCCAGACATATTCAGCTACCTAATCTTTGACAAAGGAGCCAACCATCCTCTCTGGAGGAAAGATAGCCTCTTTAATAACTGGTGTTGGGAAAACTGGATTTCAGCCTCCAAAGATTAAAACTAGACCCCTATCTTTCACCATGCACTAAATTAAAATCAAAGTGGATTAAAGATCTAAATACTAAAATGGGGGGCCAGAGATTTAGCTCAGTAGTTCATTGAACAGACATTTCTCAGACAAGTAAAAACAGCAAATAAATATATGAAAAAAAATGTTCAGCATCACTGGTCATTCAAGAGATGCAGATGAAAACAACACTGAGATTCCACCTCACCCCAGAAAGAATGGCTGCTCCCAAGAAATCAACCAATAACAAATGTTGGCAGGGTTGTGGGGAGAAAGGAACCCTGTTCCATTGTTGGTGGGAGTGCAGACTGGTGCAACCACTGTGGAAATCAATACGGAGATACCTCAATCAATTAGGATTAGAGGTCCCATTTGACCCAGCTGACCCTCTGCTGAGTATCTTTCCAAAAGAATTAAAAGAATCATACCACATCAATATGGGCCCCCAAAAGAAAAAGCAATTAGTAACAAATGGTAGAGGTGCTGGAGGGGAAAAGGAACCCTTCTCACCCTGTTGGTGGGAGTGTAGACTGGTGTAACCACTGTGGAAATCAGTGTGGGGATTTTTCAAAAAACTTAAACCTAGAGGCTGCATTTGACTCGGCTGTTCCTTTTCTTGGTATCTTCTCACAAGAATTAAAAGCATCCTACCACAGCAATATAGGCACACCTATGTTTATAGCAGCACAGTTTGTAATAGCTAAATCTTGGAAACAGCCCAAATGCCCATCAGCCAACAAGTAGATAAAGATATGGGTTGTGGGGTTTTGTGTTCTTTTGTGTGGGTTTTTTTTTTTTTTTTCCGTAATGGAGTACTGTTGTCATGAAGGATGAGCTCCAGACATTTACAGCTAAATAATGGGACCATACTCTGAAGTAAAATAAATCAGACACGTTTAAATACCGCATTGTTTCACTGGTGTAACCAAAAGTGGAAATATGGACTAAAATGGATAATAGATATTGGAAAATGGGAAGAAAATGTTCAAAAGGGAAGCGGGGGGAGAAAGAAAGAGACAAGAAAAAAATGAAAATAGAAGGAAAAATTGGAAACAGCTTTTGTACATAGGGAGGAGAGGACATTTAGGGAGGAATGAAATAAAATTTATTTTTTAAAAAAGTCTTCCAAGCCTGAGCAATTTTGAACATAGTGGGAAGTAAGTGCTCCTGACTGAGAGCTCCCAGAGCCCTGTTACCTTGAGACAGCATTGGGCAAAATGCCTACTTCCAGTTCCTGGGCTTTTCCATTGTGGCCTCTGGTGCTTGAGAACCTTTCACACCACAGCTATTTCAATGCTGATGAGCACTCCTAGCTCTTCTGGAATTCATTACAGGGGTTGGCTTCATAGATGTCTCTGCGATGAATGGACAGGTTTCATAAATTAATTTTTTTATTTTTAAATTCACATACAGATGTAACACAAAGGAGTCATATGTGATGGCACATGCATGTAATCCAAACAATCTGGGAGGCAGAAGGATCTCAAATTTGAGTCTAGCCTGGACAGTTTAGCAAAACCTTGTCTTCCAAAAAAGAGGGCTGGGGATATAGTTCAGTGAAAAGGCCCTGTTTTTAATCTCCATTACCACCCAAAAAAAAAGGAATGCAAAATACTTCTTTGTAGTATTGCCTTCTACCTAGTTTCTCTTGCTGGTAAAATCTTGCAAAACTGTAATACAATGTCATATCCAGAATACTGACATAGAATCCACCTCTCACCTTCAGGTTTCCTGTTTAACTCATACTCTCCTGATCATGTGTTTTCTGTGCAATTTTATCACATGTGTAGGTTCAAGTGATGATCTCCATGTCAAGTAGCTAAAGTAAGTCAGGTGTGGTGGCACACACCTGTAATTCCAGCATTTGGGAGGCTGAGGCAGGAGGATCACTGTGAGTTCAGGGCCAATCTGGACTAAATAGTGAGACCCTGTCTCAACAACAACAACAAAAAACACAAAATACTAAAGTATTCCATTGCCACATGCTAGGTTCCTCTTGTTAGTGTTTTATAACCACACATACTTCCCTCTAGCCCATATTATTACTTTGTCCCTTGAGTACTCCACCCTATCCCTGCATCTACTAATCTGTTCTCCATCTCGAAAATTAGGTCACTTCAAGAATGTTATACAGCCAGGCGTGGTGTTACACACCTGTAATCCCAGCACTCGGGAGGCTGAGGCAGGAGCATCTCTGTGAGTTCGAGACCAGCCTGGGCTACATAGTGAGTTCCAGGTCAGTCTCAACTACATAGTGAGACCCTGTCTCAAAAAACCAAACAAACAAAAAAATAGTGTTATACAAATAGAATCGATTAGACAATATGATACCCTTTGGGATTGCTTTTTATTCGCTCAGTATAATGTGCTCAGGATTCATCCAAGTTATTACTAGTATTAGTTTATTCCTTGTTTTGGCTGAAGAGTAGTTCATGGCATGAATGTTGCACAGCTCATTTAACCATTCACCCACTGAGGACATCTGAGTTGTTGCCAGGTTGCTTCCAGTTGTTCACTATTACAAATAAAGCTGCCCTGAACATTCATGTTGTAATTTCTGTGGGATAAATGCCCAAGAGTACAATTGCTGGATTATATGGTAAATTATATGTTTGATTTTATAAGAAAACAGTCCAGCTTCCAGGGTGGTTGTATCTTCAGACCTTCCACTTCTCAGCATTTGATGACATCACCTCTGTATAACCATTCTGATAGGCTTGTTATGATAGCTCGTAGTAGCAAGGAGGATTCTGCAGTCCCTTGTCTGTGTCCCCTGTGGCAAAGGGCCTCATTTGGTGGGTTGCCCTTGGACTTCACCATCTCCATGACTGGTAGTCCTTACAGGCAGAGCTCACCTGACTTCCTGAACCAGGGCAAGGCCTTGTTTCATGATCCCCGGAAGAGAGCACTAGTAGTTAAGTTACTAGGAAAGGCCACTGCTGGTCTGGCTCCATCCTTACAGGTGCTGCACAGCCAGAAAAGCACCTTCTGTTTCAGACCACATCTAAGAAGCAAGCAACCAGCCAGCCTTTGGTGTCCTGTGCCCTGCTGAGCACCAGGCTGGCCTGGTAGTGCAGTTCAGAGATGACTCAGATGACACTCAGTGGGAGTTCCTGATTTTCTGATCTCAGTGGAGAACAGGGAGTCCAGCTGGGCATGATAGAATCATAGGGGCAGCAGACTAGTGTAGGGAAGGAGGGAAAATAGGGTGTGGTTAGCCAGGCCCTATGATTCTTTGTCTTTGATCAGCTAGGGAAGGGCGCGCGCATGCGCGCG